GAGACAAAACTCTTCCTGAATTTCATTATTATTCAATGCTAATTGGAAAAACAAAAAATTTTAAGTGTAAGCATCACTTTTTAAATCACTTGCAAGTTATTTTATTCTCCCTCTGACAAATATAAGCACAGCCACAACTAAAGCAATATTTCATTCTAAACAGGGAAGAGCTGCTGAAGAAAGGGAGAAATGTCAGGAGTTAACTTTATCCCCACTGGATCCTTAAATGAGAAACTAATGCAACATTTCCAAAATGGATATACTACAAAATGCCCCTTCACAGTGTGTTACATGATCAGTTCTAGATCCAAAATAAACAGAATCATTGGATAAACAAAATTAAACAAACTTATTTTCTGTGGGAACATCTGAGACTACACTAATGTGCTTCATAAATCTTCAACAGGAAGATAGAATATAGTACTTCCAATATTTGTTTGATGCAGAAACCACTCTTTTCCAATACTTCATAACAACTTCCAGAAATGCTATTCCTCTGAATATAATTTGAGAAACATATATATATATAAACATTCACTTTTGAGGCTCTCACTCATATATACATATACATATGTATGTATATATGAGTGATACATGTATGTATCATACATGTATATATTTATACTCATATATACATATATACATACATATGTACTCATATAGACATATATACATGTATATATGTGTGTGATACATGATATATGTATATGATATGTGTATGCATGTATATGAGTACATTTATACATGCATGTATGTATATATACCTATATGTATCATACATACATATATCATATACCTATATGTATCATACATACATATATCATATACCTATATGTATCATACATATATCATATACATATATTATGTATCATACATATATATCATACACATGGTATCATATACATTATATATGTATGATACATATAGGTATATATGTGTATACATATGTATATATGTGTATATACGTGTGTGTGTGTGTGTGTGTGTGTATATGAGTGAGAGCCTCAAAAGTGAATGGTGTTTGCCAAAGTAGGCAGTGCAACAAAGTAGGCAAACACCAGAAAGTTTTCTATCACCCACTCCCTGTCTTGATGCACCAAGATTTGCAAATCTGCGTAACTCTGCCTTCGTGGAACCAAATTCAATTTGGATTCAATAAATTTGCTTTTTAGAAAATGAAACCAGCCAGCTGCAGTGGTTCACACTTATAATCCCAACACTCTGGGAGAACAAGGCAGGAGGATTGCTTGAGCCCAGGAGTTTAAGACCAGCCTGGGTAATATAGGGAGGTTCCATCTATATAAAAATAAAATAATAAAAATAAGTTAGCCAAGCATGTGACAAAGGCCTGTGGTCCCAGGTACTTGAGAGGCTAAGAAGGTGGGAGGAATTCTTGGACAAAGGAGGTTGAGGATACAGTGAGTGAGAATCACTCCACTGCACTCTAGCTTGGGTGGTAGAGCAAGATCACGTCTCAAAAAAAAGAAAAGAAACAACAAAAATGAAACCACTGAATAATCAAAAAATATTCACAATTACTATACATTTGCATTGCAAATTAACTCCCAAATCCCCACCTGCTCCAGCAATGTTATCACTGAATAAGTAGAATTAATTATTATAGAGATTATAATAATGATGCCAAAGAATTTATCCTAATTAAATGTTCTATCATGAAGAAAAGGCAAACATTCAAATCAATAATGATTTCATTTTATTCTTTTGGGGACATTCAGTTCTTCTAAGCACAATAATTTGATTAATGATTTCATCTTCACTATGATTATCAACTTTTTCTTACATTTTACCCAACACACAAGTCCATATAATACAAGTTTTGTGAGCAAACCTTTAGACACTGATAAATTTTAAATATCCTTTAGCTAGTCTTTGCCACTCTTTCTGTCATCTCCATGAATTAAACCAACATGAGAGGAGTTCCATTTTGTCAGAAGGCAACCCATCCAAGAGAGTCAAAAACTTGCTGTCATACTATGCAATTTACACAAAAAGAAGTGACATACATTTATCTGAGATATAGAAGATATTTAGTAAGAACATATTTATTAACTATAAATCTCATTCATATTTTGTATACAGATATTATTATTATACTTAAATGGCATGAATAATGCTGATATTATAATGCTAAATTTTAAAGCCTAGCTACAAAGTTACTAGACATATGTTCTGAAATATATATAAGTATTTTTAAAGGAGGTGCCTTAAAATAGAAATAACAATTCAAGAGACATTTTTTTAAAAAAATTCTGCATTATTTTTATAGTCTTGAAAAAATTGAAGTTTTTTTTTAATAGCACTAGTCTATGTTAATTGACCTATTCCACTAAATCTAAACTATGAAATTGAAGACATAAACTTATGGTGAAATTCCAGAAGTTTCCTTTGGGTACAAAAGAAACCCAGTAAAAATGCTGTCATCCTCAGCACTGACATACACCCCATTCCAATCTTTTGACACTTCAAGCCAGACTTGGTCTCCTGCACTTAATTTCAAGATAATGACGAGAGATGCCTGGTCTATTTCCTGACCATACAGAGTTTCTCTGGACTTGAACTGCCTCTTATTCTGGGCCACCAGACTGATTCGAGCAGGTCGGCCCCTCACAGTTACATGGTAGGAAAAAACATATGTCCCAGGAATAGAGCAGTTAAACTTCCCAGTGACAGGACTGTAACTCCCTTGGTCATTATAGAGAACCTTGTCAAATTTGATGGGGATGTTTGGAGGAGGGAAAGGCTTTGACAAAGCAGCACTGAAAGCTGACTGTGGCACTCTAGCCACCTCACCCTTGGAGCCTTTAAAGCCCCGAGAGCCCTTCTTCCCAATGGGGCCTCGGACCCCTTTACTGCCAATGTCACCCTTTGGCCCAGTAGGTCCCAGGAGACCAGGAGGACCTAACTCTCCCTTTTCTCCTTTAACCCCTGGATCACCTTTGGCCCCAGGCAGACCACTGTGACCACTTTTGCCTTCCACTCCACTGTCCCCTTTGTAACCTTTTTCTCCTTTTATACCTGCCTCACCTTTCTGTCCTTTTCCTCCTTTCTCCCCAGAATCTCTGCAGTAGCCTTTCTCCCCCATCTCCCCCTTCTCTCCCTTGGTGCCAGGCCCTCCGTGCAGGCCCGGTGAGCCCATAGCCCCTTGGTCTCCTTTTTCGCCTTTGGTACAATTCCCACATGTGTCTCCCTTGGAGCCTTTTTGTCCTTTCACACCTGCCAAACCAGCGTTTCCTTTATCTCCCTTAGGGCCAAGTTCACCTGAAATGGAAAATTAAAATAACGTTTAAGGATCACATAGGCTATAAACAGCATGCTATTACCACAGAGCTCAAAAAAGTAGAAAGAAAACTACTAATTAGGACCTGGAAACCTGGTTCTTGCCTCAGTAATACCTGTGCCTAGGAGGCTCTGACAATGAACAGTTTATATTATATCATGCTCATAGAAGGGGAATTGTTAACGCTTCTAAGAAACAGTCGCTTATATTCAGATGACATATATCTAGTTCTTTTTTTTTTCACTTTTAAGATAATAAAGAATATTAGGACTGTACTTGTTCATTGTATTCCATTACCCTTTGCATTTTGGCCTAACCCAGGTATTCTCCTAAATCCCTACATTGTCCATTCAAGCCTAAATCTTATTGGCAAGGAAACAGACCCAGAACGAGTCAGGGATTTTTATTTTCCATTGGCAGCTAGAGAAAGAAGCAGAGCACAGATACTATTACCTGGTCTCCAAATTCCTAGACCAGTGCTCCTTCATCAAGTCAGTACACTGAATTCTTAGAAGAATAACAGTAATTTGTATTTTCAGTTTACCTCTCTGATAATTTTAAGTACAAACAGGAGAGAATGAAGGGCTATACTGCACATATGACTGTTCACAGTAGATATATTTCATGCTCTACCTTGTGCTCCAGGTTTTCCTGGGTATCCTGGAATTCCTTGGTCCCCACGTTCTCCTTTGAGCCCTTAAAATGATACCAAGATTAACTTATCAACTACATCATTTATGATATATCTAATATTCTTCTCACAATTGTGTCACATTCCAGTGTTTTCCTTAACCAAAATGGGTTAAAGGTAAAATAGTGTGAAAAAAGAATGTAGACTGGGCGCAGAGGCTCATGCCTGTAATCCCAACACTGTGGGAGGCCGAGGTGGGTGGATCACCTGAGGCCAGGAGTTCGAGACCAGCCTGACCAACATGATGAAACCCCGTCTCTACTAAAAATACAAAAAATTAGCAGGTTGTGGTGGTGTGCATCTGTAATCCCAGCTATTCGGGAGGCTGAGGCATAAGAATCACTTGAGCTGGGGAGTTGGAGGTTGCAGTGAGCCAAGGTCATGCCACTGCACTTCAGCCTGGGTGACAGAGTGAGACTCTGTCTTAAAAAAGAAAGAAAGAGAAAGAAAAGAAAAGAAAAGAAAAGAAAAGAAAAGAAAAGAAAAGAAAGAAAAGAAAAGAAAAGAAAAGAAAAGAAAAGGAAAAGAAAAGAAAGAAAGAAGGAAAGAAAGAAAGAGAAAGAAAGAATGAATTGAGGGTCATTAGGAATAATTAACTTCAACTGATGGTAAACTATTTAAAAGAGATCTGGAGGCAGTGATCCCTTCAAATGGAATTTATCTGTGCCCTCAGCATTTCCATGGCTCTTCAAACCTCTCATAAAACTCATGACATTCTGCTTGTATTATATATGTATGTATTTATGTTTTTCCCAATATGAATTTTGAATAACAGTTAGAATACCTTCTTTTTAGGCCAAAATGCCTTGAAATAATGTCATGCTCCCTACAAGTTTAAACACAGGGCACACAGGGCACTACATCCTGCTAAAACTAATGATAACCAAAAAATAGTCCAGGAAAAAAATGTTCTTTATATAGAGCATCAAGAAAAAGCCAATTTCCATTTTGTGTTGAAATACTTTTATATACATTTTGGACAAAGTATAGAAATGTAGGAATTCATGGGTGAAAAAATGGAAAATATCTGGATTTTCAGATATTTGTCATATTACCATAAAATATATTTTTATATTGGGCCTTACTAAAAGCCCATCTTATTATAGTTGTCACACTGAATTGATTTCAACTATAAAAGATTGTAACAATAATAATAGTATTAATAATATCTCACTTTTATTAGACATTTACTTTGCATGGATATTGTTGGAAGCTCTTACCTTTTTTTTTTACTTAACCCAATCTTTAATTTAATATAATTTTTACTTGACATTAACACATTAACACTCTTCTGTAACACAGCTTCATATAGCATAACACATTTAATCAATTGAAAAATTCTAAATTTACAAAAATTTATAGCATCTGCCCTTCAAGAAAAGGAGAGCAGATACTTTTATAATTATTTTATCAACAAAAGAAACTGAGGTATGAAAAAATTTAAAAATTTGGACAGAGTCAAATACAATTACATATGACATTGGTTGGTATCAATTTGCAATCTATATTGCTTATGATATAACTGACATCTTTTGTTTTATTTTTGTCAGGAATTAAAATTAATCTTAAGCCAAATTAAAAGTCATGAGAATAGACTCTTCCCAGTTTCACAAGACCAACTAGAGAAATCCCACCATAGGTCATTCAGCAGTTTTCTAAGTTGCTATTCTGCATAAAATGCAAAATTTGGAAATAAAACCATAGGCCGTTAAGAAAATAACTGAATGCATTTTGAGGGAACCCGCCCTAAATGGAAGTGAAGAGCCAATTCTATTTCTAGTTTTTGCCAATAACTCAAATACCAACCTTCACCACACAGAGCCGTACCAGTTCTAGAGTTCCTTTAAAGAGCTTAATTGCTTCCCCTAATTTACTCAACCAGGTAGTGATTAACTAGAATGCAGTCATTCAACTCATCTTTTTTTCTAACTTTCTATCTTAACCAAGAGTCCAAGCTAAGTCTGGAAGTGAAAGGAAAGTAGAGTTGCTACTTTATAAAGACCGGCCAAAGGAATTTCTACTTTTGATCTTCATCAAAGTATATTCTTAAGAAACTTATTTTATTGCACTTCCCTATTTTTTCTTCTATTTCCAGAAGTCTAGCTTCCCAAATGTATGAATCACTGGGGAGGTTCATCACTCATCTTTATTTCACAAGGTTTTCTGCTAACATAATTCAGGCACAAAAGGATTAAATGTTTCCAAGAATGAAAATCATGTAACTGACAAGTGTGAAGTAGCTCTCTCTTCCCTTAGCATCTTTTTTGAGTAATTACTTCACTGAATGTTCTACCAGAAATGAGTTAGGCAGTTCCTGAGCCATGTGGAGGGTGATGTATAGACAGCATTAGGTCTTTTGACATGTGACACTGAGGCTAAAACATTTAACTTGATGGATAGATGGTATTTCTACAGGCTGCTGGTATTCACTGAGGAATTTCTAAATATCCTAGTGAATCTGTAGCCTTCCTTTGGTACCTTTAAGCACTTACAGAACCAGGGATTTCCTGGGACAGAAAGCCTTCTTTATGGATACACCTATGGAATTACAGAATTTCTGAGCTGGAAAAGAGCTACAAAGGCACTAATAACTACAAATCTTCTTTGCTAGTAAACAAGGTATAAATAAATATCTAGGTCATCTCCCTCAAGCTCCAAGTGAAAGAAAATGACTGACCCAATGTCACTATTGTAAGCTTGATTACTTCTGTTTTAATTAAGTTGTCTTCCTACCACTGACAGTGCCTCTAATTTCAGAGTGAGCCAAGGGATATGTTAAATTCTCCTGCACAGGCATACTATCCACCTAGACTGAATATTTAGGGAGTTGCCTGCTTTAGTTTGTTCCATCTGATACAAAATTATTTGCATCCAAAGGAAGTAGGCTCACATGCACATGTACAGGAAGGGTATCTCTGTAGCCTTCCCCAGAGACTGTACTCTGTGGCTGCTAGTCACTAGGTCAGCCAGGTGGCGAATGAGAGATGGAAAAGCTGTATGACAATCTGTGTGTGTGCATGCATATGTGCAATGTTCCCAGGTAAGTTTAAAATATCTCAATAGGCTATTTACAAAGTTAACATGTTTATATCAAATATAATGTGCTTTATCAAGTATTTACATTTTTAAAAACTGACTCACCTTCAAGAATCTAGTATTTACTTAGCAAGTTGCTCTCCTGATAAATGATGCAGAATGAATTACCTACCTTTCTCTCCTTTGTAGCCTTTAGGGCCTTGGGGCCCAACAACTCCTGGTGGCCCTGGGTTCCCCAAATTTCCAGTCTCTCCTTTAGGGCCTAGAAATGGAATTTTAAACACATCAGAACATAAAATTCTTTTTTTGAAATTTATTAGTTCCAGGGGGAAAAAAAGCATTTTATTGCAATCAATAAGTGTCAATGACCTAATGATAAAATCTGAGTGAGAATAAATCATCACAGAGTTCTAAGGGCAATATTTTTGTCTGATTTGCAGTTTTGTACTACCTGAATAGATAAATTGAGCCCATTAGTACTTGTCACTGTATTCATTGCAGTGATCAAATGATTCAGGGAAGCAGCACTATATCAAACAAGAACAAAATGATAATCTGACACTTAACCTCATGTGGACCACACTTTCAGATTGTAAGTAAAAACACACCTAGAACATTTGGATTTCCCTTTCATTCACTTACTCATTCATTCATTAACTATTTCTGAGTCCTTCTATACACCAAGCACCCTGCAAGATGTTAGGAATGCAGCCATCAACATTCCAGCAGTCCCTACTCTCATGAAACTGAAAGTCTATGAAACATAAACATTGAATAAATAGCCACACGAATAAATAGAAATTGTCACACTGTAGTTAATAACAGAAATAAAAATAGGAAGGTCTTATTGCAGGGTATGGTAAAAGGACTTAATTGATGAGATGAGAGACTTCCTTGAGAAAATGGCATTAAGCTAAGACTCAAGGAATGGACTAAGATTTCCCAAAGCAGAAGAGCTTCCTTAAGCAAGACTAAGACAGCCTGTGCATTCTGAGCTCCTAAGCACTATGCTCTGTGGCAGAGCCAGTCAGACTAAGACATATTGGCTCCCCAGGCAGGGTAATAACTTGGCATACCTTGAAATTATTTGTCAAATATATTTAGAGGAGAGAACAAACTCTGAGAACAGCCCAGCTAAATCCACCACTGGGTAAAACAAAAGCCCTAATGTTACAGAACTCACAGCCTTAGCAAATAGTTTAGCAACCAGCTGTGTCTACTTGACCATACCCTTGGGATTTTCACCCCCAAGCAGCTTGCCAACCAGACAGAATACTAAGACTTCTGGTAAATATGATATTCTCAGTCTCGTTAAATTTTCAATAATGTTTTAGCAATCTTGACATCTTGGTGTGCAAGCTACAGCCCATCTCCTTTACCCCTTAGTGCAGCTCTACATAAATACCACATTTCCTGAAACATCCCTACAATGGGATGAAATGAATGAAAAGCTTGGAAGATGTATAATTGCTGAGTTTATAACATTAAATTCTTCAGGGAATGGTGAATTTGAAATTGACAATCTGATCTTAACTTTACCTTGAATTATCTTTTATATGACATGTAAAAGCTGAAATGTATTAGAATAACGCTGAGAGTATATTCATTATGCATATATTATAGACATCTGAAATCTTGACATATATAACCATGGTGTTCAATGGAGAAAATCACTGGGCAAGGACACAGTACTGCCTCAGAAATTCAATGAGAAGCAAACGGAATCCTAAGCCCTATTTTCCACCTCACAGCCATTCCATTTCTGATCCTAACTACAAATAGCACTCAGAAAATCCATCAGTCAGCACACATTCTTACCAGGCAACAGAAGCTTCATTTACTCTTTCTAAATCAGCCACTAATGAAACAATGGTGCTGGTAATGAACCTGCCATCTTGAAGAACCACAGCACGCCATGCTGCGGTCAGTAATCCCTGACTTTGCTCTCACCCGCACTGTCCAGTAGAATGGTCTGCAATGATGGAAATGCCATCTATGCTGCCCAATACAGTGGTTGTTGAGTCCCTGAACTGTGGCTAATGTGATTTATGAACCGAATTTTTTACCTCATTCAATTTTAATTTTAATATTTATTAATTACCACACTGGGCAACACAGTACCCAGTTGCATTTGTAACAATGTGACACCTAGACCTGTCTCCATTTGCGTGACAAAGCAGAAACTCAGAGCAATTTCACCCCACAGCCTACCTCTCGACTCTACCAATGTACAAGTGAGAAACATGACTTCCTGTATTTTCAAATACCTGGCTTTCCAGTGTCTCCACGTTCTCCTTTCTGCCCAGGTACAGGTGAACAACAATCACAACAATTCAAAAAGAAATCAGCTGTGTCAAGAGTGAAGTTTTCAAAGGGAAAGAGAGTGGCAGTGCCAAACACAGAATCCAAGGCTGAGGGTTTGGTGATTGGTTCTGCCATTTCAGCCATTTCTGTGAAGAGGGTTTCTTCTTCTTGTGGAGGTGGGCCACTGGATGGCTTTAGACCCTTTGGCATCTCTCTTTCCTCAGATTTCTTCGTAAATTTGGTATACGGTGTGGTCTTTGCTATTGTGTTCATACCAGCAATAGCCAAAATAATTAAAATAGCACAAAGCCAAGTAAACATCCACATAATTGAGGCTGGAAGAAAGATATAATAGGAAAACATATACATATTACATGAGGTCCAAATTAAAAAACCAAGTGATATAAATATTATTTACATAAAAGAAATATATATGTTTATGAACCATATGAATGAACAGAATGCATAATACAGAATTATATATTTTCAATATATTTTATATGTAAATATGTGCTTGAATCACTACAGAATATTTTATGTACTTATTTATTATAAAGAACACTTTACTTCAATTTGTCTTTCTGGTTGTTTTCTTAGTATTATATATTGTTCTCAACAATTCAAACTATCTTGCCAAATAGCAAACATGATCTATAATAAATACAACATGACTCAATAGCTCATATACCCTGTGGAAGATAAATGCATATAATTTCCTGACTGGTCTCACTCAGATTTATAGAAATCAAATACATTTGTATTAGAGGGAGATGAAAAATATTAAGCTGAATAGTTTATTCCAGCAAACTCAATTATTTCAAGAAAAAGTACTGGTGAAACAGAGCTTAAATCTACTAAGGAGAATGGTCCTGTTGTGGGGGTAATTTTTTAAAATCTACTTTAATAAATGAAGAGAGAGACAATGAAATATAATAAATTTGAATATATGCTGCATCCTGAGATTCTTCACATGGCATTTATCTCTCCACCTCTTTGCTCTGTAATTTGGGGAGTTTTTTCTAGAAGCTCACATTTATTCTTGTATTATTTTAATGAGGCAAAATGTGGTTATTCTTAAAAGGCCTTTGGCAGTGTCCAAAGTGATATGATGTAGGGTTTCTAATGAGGTGAAATTTTGATACTTCAGAGTATTCTATTCCCCATCAACTCCCAGCAGTCTAGTGGCTGCTAACAGATAGCCAGGGTTATAAATGCACATTTGCTGATAGGAGAAAGAGGGCATAATTAGGATAAATAGTAACAGAGTAAGGAGAATGGAAACAGAGACAGTAAAAAGGCCTACTGTTTATACAGCCCCTAGTCTGAGTAGATGCCTTACATTATTCAATCTAATCAGGTCTCACAAAGCTCTCCATTCCCCTTGAAAATTGGGATAAGACAAGGATTGCTCTCTCCCGCCACTCCTATTTAACATAGTATTGGAAGTGCTAGCTAGAGCAATCAGGCAAGAGAAAGAAATAAATGTCATTCAAATAGGAAAAGAAGAAGTCAAATTATCTCTCTTTGCAGAAATATGATTCTACGTCTAGAAAACCCTAAAGACTCTGCCAAAAGGCTCCTGTGACCAATAAATGACTTCAGCAAAGTTTCAGGATACAAGATCAATGTATAAAAATCAGTAGCATTTCTATACACCTATAACATTAAGGCTGAGAGTCAAATCAAGAATGTAATTCCATTTATAATGGCCATGAAAAAAAATACCTAAGAGTATATCTAAGCAAGGAAGTAAAAGATCTGGAGAACTACAAGGAGAACTACAAAATACTGCTGAAAGATATCAGACATGACACAAATAAATGAAAAAACATTCCATGCTCATGGATGAGAAGAATCAATATTGTTAAAGTGGTCATACTGCCCAAAGGGATCTATATATTTAACACTATTCCTATCAATCTATCAATGCCACTTTTCACATAACTAGAAAAAACTACTATAAAATTCATGTGGGACCAAAAAAAGAATCCTAATAGCCAAAGCAATTCAAAGCAAAAAGAACAATGCCAAAGGCATCACATTACCTGGTTTCAAACTATACTGTAAGGCTGCAATAACCAAAGCAACATGGTACTGGTACAAAAACAGACACATAGACCAGTAGAACAGGATAGAGTATCCAGAAATAAAGCCACACACCTATGGCCATCTGACCTTTGATAAAGTCATCAAATATAAGCAATGCAGAAGGACTCCCTATTCTGTGAATTGTGCTGCAATAGCTGGCTGGCTATATGAAGAGAATAAAACTGGACCCCTACCTTGCACTCTATGCAAAAGTTAACTCATGATGGATTACAGAATTAAATGTAACACCTCAAACTATAAGAATACACACACACACATGCACGCACACACACACGCACACACACACACACACACACACAACCTAGAAAATGTCATTTGGACAACAGCCTTGGGAAAAAAAAATTATGACTAAGTCCTTAAAAGCAACTGCAACAAAAAAAAAAAATTGACAAGTGGGACCTAATTAAACTAAAGAGCTTCAGCACAGAAAAAGAAACTTTCAACAGAGTAAACAGACAACCTACAGAATTGGAAGAAAATACTCTCAAACTATCATCTGAAAAGATCTAATAGTCAATCTATAAGGAACTTAAACAGTTCAACAAGCAAAAAAAATAAAAATTCCATTAAAAATGGACAAGTGACATTAGGAGACACTTCTCAAAAGAAGACATGCAAGCAAACAACAAACATAAAAAAAAATGCACAGCATCACTAATCAAAAGAAAAATGCAAATCAAAACCACAATGAGATACTATCTCACAGCAGTCAAAATGACTACTATTAAAAAGTCAACAAATAACAGATTTCAGTGAAGATGAGGAGTAAAGGGAATGCTTGTACACTGTTGTTGGGGGTGTAAATTAATTCAGCCACTGTGGAAAGCAGTTTGAAGATTTCTCAAAGAACTTAAACCAGATCTATTATTTGACCCAGCAACCCTATTACTGGATATATAGCCAAAAGAAAACAAATTGTTCTTGCAAAGAGACACATGCACTAGCATGTTCATTGCAGGATTATTCGCAATAGCAAAGACATGGAATCAATCTAGGTACCTATCAACAGTGGACTGGATGAAGAATATGTGGTACATATACATCGTGGAATACTATGCAGCCATAAAAAATGGGATTATGTCCTTTGAAGTAACATAGATGCAGGTAGAGGACATTATCCCATGCCAATTAATGCAGGAACAGAAAACCAAATACCACATGTTCTCACTTATAAGTGGAAGCTAAACATTGGGTAGTCGTGGACATAAAGATGGCAACAATAAAAACTGGAGACAACTAGAGTGTTAGAGAGAGATGGAAGCAAGTTTTAAATAACTAACTGTTGGGTACTATGCTCAGTACCTGTGGATGGGATGATTTGTACCTCAAACCTCAGCATCACACAATATACCAGGTAAAAAACCTGCACACATACACCCTGAACCTAAAATAAAAGTTGGAAAACATCCTGAACTTCAGGGAAAACAAAGCCAGCTCCAGCAGGTAGGTGACACTATTGTTCACCTTTACAGATGAGGTAACAGGCACCAAGAAGTTATGTACCTTGCCCAGAGTCACACAACCTGTAAGTTATAGATCCAGGTCTGTTTAATTTCAGAGTCTAAACTTTTTTCCACAAATCATGTGGCATTTATAAGGATGAGGTTAAAGAACAATAAATCCAAAGTTAGCTCCATGGAACAAAGCTATGGATGAAACAAATATAAATTAGTACAGATAAAAAAGGAGAAAGATAGGATGTTTTGTTTCCAAAAATCATATAAAAATTAAAAAATGCTAACTTTCCTTTGAGTTGCCTTTGCTACCATATTCATCCATTTAACCATTACTTATTGAATATTGACAGCGTTAACCAGCCCTAAAATATTATATATGGTAACAACAAATATAAGGCATGGTCACTGTCCTCAGAGAGTTCACAGTCGAGTAATGAGAGATAAAACACAACAAAGGAAATGGAGGAAAATGTGAAAAGCAGCTTATTACATTGCATGTCCCCAAATATAGGCCCTTCTGTCCCCAAATGCAGACCCCCACACATACATGTGTACTCTCTATTCCGCAAGAGTGAGGACATCAAACACAGATACAATGCATCAGCCAGCTAAAGCCAGCCCCAGCAAAAATTAAAACATGGAAATATTCTGTCTGGATATAAAATAATTAAATTTTCATTGGTTTACACAATTACATTCAATAAAATATTCATTTGTTCAACAAACATTTATTTGAGCATCTACGAAGTCTGTGTGGGATCACAGAATATAAAGAAAAGTAAAACCTAGCCCCAGCCCTAGGGATCCTTTTTGCCGTAAATATTCAAATACAACAAGGCCCACATATTTGGGCAACAGAGAAATCACAGAATTGACAGAAAGATAGAAGGGAAATATTGGTGACTTTTAATTCTCTCACCATTTTAAGAAGAATTAAGATTTGCAAAATGCTGAGTGTTAATACTCTAAGATATTTCTTATATTCTCTTAGACAAGTGAGGTCATGTGAGAAAATAACCTTTCTTTTTCCCTGATAAATATATCTGTGCCATATAATAGATTATAAAACTGAGGCACAGAGAGATTACGTAGCCTGCACAAAATCATAGGGGACTGGGATTAAAATCTATGTCTTGACCCCAAAGTCATCCCATGTGCTTCCCACTGTGCCATGCTCCCTGGGGATTAATGAGTGATCAAAGATGTTGCAGAAGTGAACTGGGTTGGACCCTTTGTGAAGCTCAACTCTGGGTCTTTCACTAGAAGAAAGTGACTTTCTGCAGACAGGAAATGGGAACTTAATAAGAGCAATGAGGAAGGAGAGAGATGAGAAGTCCGACTCTGAAAGTAGAACCTATTGGTATGAAGCAAACAAAGTTACAGACAGTATATCTGCCAAGAGGTGAAAGATCTACAGAAAGTAATGAACAGAGCTCATCAGTATGAGGAAGGTGCTCAGTTTCCTTATTGAAGGACATGGATTGTCTTCATATGTGTTTCCTTTGCATTGAGGGTTCCAGCTTCCCAATTTAAATAAAGATATTAAATGATAATGCTGGCAACACTTTGACTGTGATAAGGCTCCCTAAGAATTTGGAAGATGAGGAAAACATAAAGTTCTTCGAAAGACAGTGGAGCAGGTGTTGGTAGTAACTTGACTGATGATGCAGATATGTCATTTGTTGTAACCAGAATTTTTCATGATTGTGTAAAAACATAAAATTCCAGCCAAACAAAATTTCCACAATGAGTGAAGCAAGT